AAAAAAAAAAAAAAAAGTATGTATTTTTGTTCACTTCCTGGAATTTCACTGGAGAGAGTAAAAACAATAACCATTTGAATTATACAGATACAGGGAAAACCAGAAATAGAAGCCTGAATTTCAGTGTCCTTTTGGATCTGCTAGGGTTAGGGTAATAAATAAATTCTTAGGGTAATAAGTAAATTCTAATCAACAATATCAAGCACTGTGCAAATACAAATAGAAAGTTAGTATGTGCCAGAACCAACACATTTTAATCAGTCATGTATACAAAATGACTGACACCTTGCTGATTAATCACACCTAATGCAGGCTTTGCATGCAAGAAGCAAACCCACTTTTCGCTCTGAAGCTGCTTCAAAGGGGATGGCTTTTGCATCAGAGCCCCCATGGCAGCCGTGCACCATTGCTAAATGCCAGGGCCCTGGTTCACCTCTCCCTGCCCTCGGGAGCTGCCTCGGCCCTGGCGCGGTGCGACTGTGTCTGCCATGAAGGGGAGGGCACGGCCAGTGCCCTGCTGCCCCTGCACGCAGATATGCCTCCTCTGCACAGGCAAGTTGGCAGCTTGGCCATTTTGATTAGGAATCTTAAGTCACTTCCTTCAACGGAAGTGATAAATACAATTAATTCTTCCCCTTCTTCCTGATTCCTCATGTGGTTATATTCCACATGCAATCCTCAGATGTAGTTCCACTGCTTTATTCCTAGAGTAGAAAGTAGGTGCCACTGAAATCACGTAGGAAAGCAATCTGGTGAGTATCCAGCGATTTTCTTTATGACCCCAAAAGGGAGCACACAGGGTAGATGGAGTTCAGATGGATTTCGCAAAAGACATACAAAATACCTAGGTTTGGTAGTTTTAAACAAGAATGGTTGCACAAAAGAAAACCACGGACTGGTTTCAACTAAGCCAGTTTCTCATCTAGACTGGTCACAATAATGGCTGACTTTTTTTTACTCTTAAGTTTTGATCTTGTATTTAGAAGTTTACCTTGAAATCCTCCTAATGTATTTAGATCAGATGGTTGAGTATCTACTGTTTTTATGACTTCCAAGAACAATTGTGTATTGTGATTGTTATGCAATCAAACTAATAAACTTTTTTGACCTGAATAATCAATCTGAAATGGTCCCAAAATAATTTTTTTTTGAAGACATACAGTGTGATAAATTTCTAATCAAATCGTTCTGCCTTTTACATCATTAGCTCAAATGTAATCAAATCCTCTTAAAACTGAGCAAAATATTGATCTGTTTATATAAATTTTAAAGCCAGAAATGTGAATTTGTGAAATATTTCTTTCAGCATTATTTCAGTTTTTAAAATGATTTTCAGAGTAGAAAACCTTGAAAAGCTCAGAATATTTAATTTTCATATATTCAAAATTTAAGTTGGCTTTTTTTGTAAACTTCAGTCAGCTTCCTGCTTTAAAATGTTTTTCAACTTAATTTGACAAAACACTCAAAACATTCTGCAATGTTTCTGAATTTTCAGGAAAGTAAAATGCCAATTTTTCTCGTGGTACTAAGGGAGGCTAAAATCCAATGTTGACTAAGAGTCCATTTTTTTAGGCCATTAATTTCTTGGTTTCTATCTTGAAAAGTGAGGCTAGCATCCAACAACACTGAATCTCAGTTCTGCACTTCAACCTTGCAAGAAGGGTGAGAGTTTCTTTAGCCCCATCATACATATGTATCTGTGATAAGGTAGCTCTGAAACATCCATTTGAACTTATCAAGTCAGGTTTTGACACAGACATACAAAAGGTTATCAAAATTTAGGGTGCTCCATGTATAAACTCTTTTCATGTATTAATTTTTAAAAGGTAGATACATCAAAAGACTGCAGTATGCAGTTCATACTGTAGCAAAACTGTACACATACTTTATGTGTGTATAACCATCTAGAAAGACAATATATGCACAGGACCACTGGGAAGATCAGATGACAATTCTAAATCAGAGAAGCAAAATTAAATCACCGGGCTTGCTATTTTTTTCAATTTTCCACAAGTTCTGCTCTAACAGTTGTCAGGATATCAAAAATCACACAAAGAGAAGGCTAATAGTTCAGAGAGTCTGAGCTCTACATTTCAGAGAATACCTTATGTTCTCTGAACACCCGGAAGAGACAAATGTAAATTGGAGTATTATGCATGGAATAAACTAGCATAGATACATAAGCTACATACAAAAGTTTCACTCAACATCTGGTACAGAGCCTCTTTAATTCAACAGTAACATATACTTCAGGTTAATTGGGAGCAAGCATGGTTTAAATACATTTATAAGTTTCCATTTATTTATTTCATTAAAGTTTAATAAACCAGTAAGGCCGACTATTTCAAAAGCATCAGCATAAACATTTTCAGTAGTACCTTGCACTGTTTGATAAAGAAGGCCTGTATCAACAACAGGAGATATTGAAGTACAACTTCAGATAACCATAAAATCATTTGTTAAAGCCTAATGTGAAGACTCTGAGGAAGGAAATATATGTAGAAATAGAGAGAGGATGAACAACTCTTAGCTACAAAAATTCTCTCTCCCTTTCTCTGATTATTATATAACATAAAGGCTCTCATATGGGAAAGTCAGAGTCATCTGTCACCGAAGATTATGTTTACCATGGAAACTACCATTACTGAGTAATTTGAAGTCACTTGGGTAACCTGACCATAACACCACGCTGTAAAGTGTCAGAAATGTTGCAACTGCAGATTAAATAATCCATTCAAAATCCACTTGAAATCAGACAGTAACCTGGCCATCACATAACTCTATGAAATTACAGAAATACTAAACCAAACAAGATTAAATAATCTGGCAGATGGAATGAGAAAGTACAGACATGTTTTGCTTCTTTATTTTTTTTTTCCTCATAATACGTTATATTTTGCCTGGTGCTTTACAATTACGTCTCCATAACCGAAAGAAAGTGAAGATTTTTATAAAGGCTTAAAAAATTACATAATAACAAAATTTGTATGGGAATGTTGAGAGATCAGACTTGGCAAAAATATATCAAACTTCAGAAATACATATGAAGCTAAAGCATACTGATTAAATATTAATTATTTTACTCAGTGTCTTGCTTCAGCAGACCCACTAAAATGAGATCCTTTTTTCTTTAAACATCTATTGTAATGGCTGAATATAAAAATATTGCCTTACCATCCTTCTGAGAGCTACATGTATTCAACACTGATACTATGAGCTTCTATCCTTAGACTACAAATCAAATGCAATTTGCGAGACAAATTGTGCCCTGAGGAACAAGTATGTATCTCAATGGGAGTCATGAAAAGGCAATGGAAATTTTTCATTTATCAAAAAGCATTGTGCTCAGATGTTACTGGCACATGTGTAGAGCCTCATCAAAAGTTCAACAACAGTTTTAAATTCCTTTTTCCAATATAAAATTTAGGTATACTGTCAGATAAGAGAATAATAGATTAAACATGTTTAAATATATTTGCTGATTTCTCTCTTGTCATTTATTGAAGTACTTCAAATGCTGCTTCTCCAAGGAAACAAGACTGACATTAAAAGAGAGGTATTTGTGGTTACAAGTGCTAGGAGGCAAAAAAAGGTGCTCTGAATGTATTCATTGTGAATAATATTATAGAAAGATAGTTTACAGAACTCAACTTCTCAACCCCAAAAGCTGCAAACCTGTTATTAAATATCTAAAGCAAAGGAAAAGGAAATAATCCTAGAGATCAATGGTCTTGGGCAAGTAAGCAGCTTTTAACGAAAGCTCAAATAAATATAGCCTTTGAGGGAGGAGGAAACTAGCAGGTTTTACTTTAAAGCAGAAAATATATTTTTAGATAAAATATATGTATCACACTATAGTCTTGCATTACTTAACAAGCCATGAGATAGCTGTGTTACTAGCCGAAACTTCTACATTGTCTTTCTATCAAGTCAAATATGAACAAAATTGCACAAATCTGATGGGACTGTAGAAAAGACAACAGTCTATGCTGGTGAGATACACCTCCTGCAAAAAGAAGGGAGTTTCAGGTGAGGATTGAAGTAATCCTCACCTGAACTAATAGCTGAATTTGAGTATTACTGTTGTGAGAAAATGTCTCCTCCAAGAGAAAAAAACCTTGTTCTTTGAAACTCAGTATATCAAAAGAAAGAGAAAACTAGTATTGGAAGGAGTTCCAGAAAAGTTATCTTAAACACAAATATTCCCAAAGCGTAACAGAAGTAATGGTATCTGGGCCCCAGCATTTTTGAGTGTGTGAAGACAATAATTTGCTCTGTTAAAGCTCCTGAACATCCTAGGTGATAACTAGACCTAAAATGAAATTAGCATCAACTCCATATACTTAGTACCCCGCAAGCTTTGATGATACATTTACGAAAGTGGAATGCAACTTGCTGAGTTCAAACAATTTTCGAAACTGAGAAGCAGTGTTACATTGGCTATTTTTAAACGTGTGGAAAGGCAATGATGAATTTCCTTAGTGTATCCTCCAGTAATTCAGTCTACCTACTGATGATTTTATGTTGTCTCCCCTACTGGGTTATCTGTAATTTATTTCTATATCACTCTTTTCTTTACATCTAGTTGATAGAAATGCTTCTTGTACTTATTTAAAACATAGCAATCTATATCACATACAAAATCGAAAGTGTTTACAACTTTTTTCCAGAACATTCTTATTTGGAAATTTTTCACAGTAACTATGGCACATGAAAGCTGTAACTGTGAAGATAGAAGCTCTAGGTTTTTTAGCTTTGCATATGGTTATATCTAAATTTCTAGACAGAAAGATAGTGCCAGATAAAAGAGAAGCCGATTTATAACTAATTCCCCATGCATATCAAAAAAGAGAGAAAAAGTGTATTTTGGAATGTCCTTTCAAACTGAGCTACATCTGAAGATGTGAAAAAGTCACTAATATTGAAAAGCACTCACCACTACTCTTATACATAGCAGCAAGATTAATAAATAATTAACAGCATTTCCAAAACAAACATACCTCAAAGACATTGGTGGTTTAATTCTTCCGAAGAATTACTACCTCAGCTGCCTTTTTGTCTTCTGGTCTTGAATTTGTTGTGTAACCTAGGAAAAATAAATCTCAGTTTACTTTCAAACTGAAAGCATAAGGTTAGACCTAAGGAAAAAAAACTTAATAGCATTGCAGTTAATTCCTCTGTAATCCTACCTCATTATCTTAAGCAAATAAATCTCTGAAAAGGATTGCCTTATTAAAAGTGAATTAGAAAACGGAATGTCATCTGTGCAGGGAGACATTCTCTTAAAATGCAATCAGTAAGGAAGCTCATAAATAGGGCACTATATAAAAATGTTCCTATCAGGCAATCCTTAGCAGATTTTCAACAGATGTGTATGTAACTATGATGTCACAAATTCCTAAAATAAAATATGTCGACATCATTCACCATGAACTTTCAAGAATCTAAAGAATAATATTCATTTATATTCTACAGAAAGAACAATATTATAAAGATATGTAAAATGTATCAAGAGTAGCTATTGAATTGTCATACCTCCCACTCCTGCATGTGATCATGATGTTTGCTTTACTAAGGAGAACTTGAAAAATATTTAAAAATTAAGGTTATTATGTTTTTATTTTAGTTCTATAACCATGTAAAATTCAGGAGGCACAGCCCCTAGGTGCATCTTAACATTCATTATGTATTTTTAGAAGTGCATGTGGAGTGTCTAAGCAGTGAAGAAGTAGTGTGTGCTATAAAGAGAAATCAGACACAAACTACTGTAGTCAGTATCATTAGAAGGGAATAAGTTTTCTCAGAAAATGTTTACCAATTGTAGGTATTTTTTGATATATTATTAAGAAAAAGAAAACATAGGCTATCAGATCTTTGGAAAAAAAAATTAAAAATCAATACTATCACAACAAAGATTTTTTTATTAAGAAGTGAAAACTTTATTATTAACTTAAAAGAAAATAACAGATATCTGTAAAAACAAATTGCCCTTTGCATTTTTAGCTTCATGAGTATTGAAATTCTCAGCTTCACTTTAAAATACTCTTCTTATCCTGTGGGTTATTCCTTACTTCAAATTACTTTGCATATCTGTACCAACACGATCAAAATATTTTAAAAGAAAACAACACAGAACACAGCTCACTTGAAAGGTATGCAAGGATAACAAGACAAAGTGAGTCCAGCTCTGGAAGATGACTGTGGCATATGAAACCTTAATACAATGTGGAAAAAACTAATGAAGGCAGTCTTCAAATGAAAGTAATCGAAGGCAGAAAAAGCCAAAACAGAAATGAAAAACAGCTTCATCGGAGCTTCATTCATACCCAAAAGGCAGCAATGTAGCTAGTTAGAAAAAAGTCAGGAAACTAATTCCTGACAATAGATGGTTGTAAGTCCTTCAGTATTTCTCAGAAAAAAAAAGTATATAATCACACACATGCAAGTTTGAACGTGAGAGCCAAAGCATGCTACAGAAATTAAATCAAGGCACTCAGCATTCACAATAAAATGAAAGAAGTGCCATGTATTACATTATGATGTAAGATTCTTTAAGAGCTAGGAGACTGTATATTTCAGGTTCACAAAATTAAAATAATCACACTGCTACCATTAAGGCCAAATCTTGATTTATACATATTTATGTCAAAGTGGCCTTGACTTGAGGGCTTTGTATTACTTTTTAAAACTATAATATAATGGATTCTTATAAAATTTTTCATTTTGCTCCTTTTGATAACAGTTTTTGAGACTGGCACGGTTCAAGCTGAAACAGCATCTCTTCATCCAAGGGCTATTTTCATCTGCTACAACATTTTCATGGTACACTGAAAATGACATAACAGAGTGACAGTGGTAAAAAATAAAATAAAACTCTTGCTTGAATGACGTATCTTTTAATCAATGTTTAGGTGAAAAGGGACAACAAAACAGATCCTTTCTTTCATGCTTTTTTTTTTTTTTTTCTTATTTAAAGATATTAAGTAAGTAGAAGCTTTCAAATGCATTGTTTCATGGAGCAGGAGCACACATTTAAAAGTTATTTGTAGTCTCTCACACAAATTCTTACACCTTTGTATTTCTAGATTGGTTGGAGTATTTAATCAGATTTATTGATTTTATAGTGTTTGCTGAGATTTAAGAAAATGCCTAATTCTTTCAGTCTACTATTTTTTTTCCTGTTTCTTTTTCTCCTGACTTTGGTTGGCTGGTTGATTGGTTAGGATTTGTTGTTTGTTTGTTTTGGTATTTTAAAGATTCCTACTGAATTAGCATCTTCGTTGTTAATAACTGAAATCTGGTATTTTCTTCTCTACTGTTCTTTAAGAACCACAATTTCAGTAGTATATGCATCTGTAGTATTTGTCAAACATTTTAAGAAATATATGAAGTATTGATTCTTACTGACATCAGACTGAAAGAAACACATGAATTTAGTCTAGATATTTGAAGGTCCCTATTTACTATCAGAAAGGCTTTGTTCTTGAAAACTGACAGTTTCAGGTTTGCTCTCTCTGGTTGTTTTATTCCATTAGTACACAATTGTGTGCAAGCTTGTAAAGAATCACTGATCAGTTTGTACCTTAATATTCAGAGAACTTGAATTTTAGGGACACCTAGAGCCCTAGCTTCTTTAAGGGAAATCCCTGACCCAAACCCCATACTAAGAAAAATTATTAAAACAAAAAAAAACAACAAAAACCAACAACAAAACAGTTTATTCATGAATCACAGGACTGGGTCAGTTATGTTGTGTTATGAAGTATGGACATATATAAGTTTGACTCTTGCCATTGTAGTAGTGATTGTATTCTTGGAAATCATAATTTGCAGGTTTCAGGAATTTTTTTTTTTTTTTTTTTAAAAAAGAAAACACAAACATTTCTTACAGGTTTTTGACTGTCTTGAGTCATGTGAAATGACAAGTTTTCTCCTATGTTAGAAACACTACTATGAATAAAGGCAGGCTTACTAAATTAATAATAAATTTATTTATCTCTACAAAATGAAAAAACAAAACAAAACAAAACAAAAGTAAAACCCAGAAGATAACAAAGTCAATCAGAGTATATGAGTACAATTATTTTGTTATTATTTTGATATTGTGAGGACTTACTCATGTCACTAGTTACTAGTGTTATCCACTTCTTCATTAAAGCTCAGTTTATTTAAAATAACGTGAATGTGGACTACTAGCTACTATTTGTGTTTGTGTCATAGTACCCATATGAAAAGGATTTTCCCAGGCTAACAACAGCTAGAAAAGTGAAGACCACTTCAAATCCGAGATTTTCTCTTGGTTTTCCCGAAGAGAACAATGCTTATTTTTTTACCTTATAAACATGTTGGCATATATTTACATACAGAAAAATTAAACTTACATACAACAGTCACAATGACTAAAGTCTTCAGTTTACAGCTGAAGTCTTCAGCTATGACTTATCTGTAATCTGAAATCAATTACTTGGTCTCAAACAACTCGAGCTGTAATTAGAAATAATGCACTTTCTGGAGACAAGGGACTAAATAATTTTGCTCCTAAGTACTTGATTTGCAATCGCCTGACAAAGGAAGGAGAAAAAGAGCTTAAGCACCAACTCGGAGGAACTGTTTGTATAGGTGGCATTAGCATCACTTAATTGTCTATATAACAAAGAAAAAAATAATGCATCTTAAAAACAAAAAAGGCTGGTGTCATTAGAGAGACAAAATAATAAAAGTGAATTAAAATCCCTTCAAACATCTGTTTATCAAAGCCATGTGCTAACCAAGGGAAGGACAGGTAGAGTTATTGGGTGCACTTACTCAGCCTAAATGAGTTTATGGGATTATTTACTGAACCATACCCTATGTTTAAAACACTAGCCTCAAAGATCCATGGAGGATTTTAAGCTGAAGTGATGTGAAGAAAACACTGGTTGACTATGAATGCCTTTTTTCTTAGTTGCTCATTTTTCCCACCTTTATTTTTCTTTTACATTTTTAAAATAGACTTCTGTTTGAATTATTTATTAATATTTTTATTAATGCCAGAGAAAGCGAAGTTAATATTAAAATGTTCCATGCAAAAATGAGGATCAAGGTGCCTCATATCCATATTTTTTCTGCTGTCCAATTTTTTTTTCCTCTTATTTTCCATTATATGTTGCTCTTCATTAAACACAGAGCTGAACTAGACACAAAAATCCTTCAATTTCCAAAGTTCAGGGATGTTGGAACTGATTCTTTCATTTCTGTTTCTACTTATAACAAAGAGTATCCTGATGCTGTTCATAGAACAATGGGTTTTTTAGTAGAATTTAAATAAATTTCAATTTGCACTCTAGAAATATATTTTCAACAAAACTAATGAATACTTTCTTACACCCAAATACACAGCGAGGCACGGGGTACCTGAGACCCCAAACAGCAATGCTTTCAGGACTTATATTTGCTTGTCACTTTTCAGCAGACGCTTTCAATTTAATTCCCATTATAATGAGATTGTGATTCTAGAAGAAATGTTAAAACATTTGTAGGGTGAAAACTGCCAGATTTTAAATTAGGTTTTACTTCACTAATTTATTTTACACAATAACAGAACTAATGAACATATTTATAGAATACAATAGAATAGACAATTTCAATTGGAAGGGACCTACAACGATCATCTAGTCCAACTGCCTGACCACTTCAGGGCTGACCAAGTTAAAACGTACTATTAGGTGCCTTGTCCAAATGACTCTTCAACACTGACAGGCTTTGGGCATTGACCACCTCTTTAGGAAGCCTGCTCCAGTGTTTGACAAGCCTCTAGGTAAATAAATGCTTCCTAATGTCCAGTCTGAACCTCCTCTGATGCAGATTTGAACCATTCCCATGGGTCCTGTCAGTGGATTGCACGAATAAGAGATATGCATGTCCCGCCCCACGTCCCCTCCTCAAGAAGCTGTAGAGAGCAATGAGGTCACTCCTCATCCTCCTTTACTCCAAACTAGACAAACCCAAAGATCCTCAGCTGTTCCTCGTAGGATGTTCTTTCCAGCCCTCTCATCAGCTTTCCTATCTTTCCTGAACAAAATGTCTGCATGTTAAATAACCTGTGAT